CTGTGGTAGTCATATAGGGGGTAGATCCCTAGCTTATAGGGCTATCTCGCAAGGATATTGGTGGCCGTGCATGCAGGTAGATGCGCAGAAGTATGTTCGCAAATGCGAGAAATGCCAGAAGTTTGCCCACCAAATCCATCAGCCGGCCAGGGAACTTCATCCCCTCACTAGCTCTTGGCCCTTTACAATGTGGGGGCTAGATATAGTGGGATCACTCCCAACGGCACCAGGCAACCAGAAGTTCTTCATCGCAGCTACAGATTACTTCACCAAATGGGTAAAAGCTGAGCCATTGGCAACAATCAAGGAGAAGGACGTAAAACGGTTTGTTTGGCAGAATGTGATAACGCGGTTTGGCGTCTCAAAGATTCTAATCTCTGATAACGGCACCCAATTCGACGGCCGCCTATTCAGAGGGTTTTGTGAAGACTTGAAGATAGAATTCTACAACTCTACCCCGGCCTACCCGCAGTCTAACGGCCAAGCCGAAGCATCGAACAAGATTATTCTTGATGGGTTGAAGAAACGGCTTGAGAAAACCAAGGGAAAATGGGCCAAAGAACTCCCAAGCGTCCTTTGGGCCTACCGAATAACCCCGCGGCGATCTACCGGGGAAACTCCTTTTGCCTTGGCATATGGCATGGAGGCGGTCATCCCTTTGGAAGTTGGTATGCCCGCCCTCAGAAGTGAAAGTTTTGAGCCCGAGCTAAACTCTGACGCCATCGCCCTGGAATTGGACCTCGTGGAAGAACGCCGAGAAAAAGTTCTCATCCATGTGGCCGCCTACCAACAAAAGCTTTCCAGAAAATACAACAAGACGGTGCACTCCAGACCATTCAAAGTAGGTGACTGAGTTTTAAGGAAGGTCATGGGTAATACCCTGGTGCCAGGTGAAGGCAAGCTAGGGAAAAACTGGGAAAGACCCTACAAGATAACCGGTCTGGCAGGCAAGGGGGCATACCACTTGGAGGACTTGGAGGGAAGATGAATACCCCGGCCATGGAATGCGGCCAACCTCAAACTGTACTATTTTTAGCTTTTGTTTTCTTTTTGTGCAAATGAATTTTTTGCCTTACACTTCAGAATGTAATATTCTTTTTGTCAATATATAGAAGCGTTTCATCTTTGCCTTAGCATTCTGATTGTTGCTTTTCAATTATGAGATTCTCAACCGAGATGTTTACTCCGATTGAAAGAGTTGATGTTTTGCTCAGCTGTGAGATTCTCAACCGAGATGTTTACTCCAGTTGAAAGAGTTGATGTTTTGCTCAGCTGTGAGATTCTCAACCGAGATGTTTACTTCGGTAGAAAGAATTGACGTTTTGCTCAAACTTTGAGATTCTCAACCGAGATGTTTACTCCTGTTGAAAGAGTTGACGTTTTGTTCAACTTTGAGATTCTCAACCGAGATGTTTTACTCCGGTTGAACGAGTTGATGTTTTGTTCCACTATGAAATTATAACCGAAATGTTTTACTCCGGTTGTCTAAGTTAATGATTTACTCGACTTTATCATTCAAATCGAGATGTCTTTTCCGATTAAATATGTCGAACAAGATGGTTTGTTTTGCCGAGGTAATTTGTTCGGTTGAAGTTATTTAGCTTGAAGACCGTGCAAACACTTGATGAAAATAAAACTTTTTCATTGATGTGAAAAATAAGTACAAAAGTTGGGGCACTTAGCCCGGTTACATGTTCAGACAAAAAGAAAGAAGACAAAAAAGACAAAAACTAAGCCAAGGAGGATAGGTCAGCGAATTCATCCCCGGCTGCGATTGCCTCCAGGTTGACCGTGACTGTGGTTTCTTGGACGCCGATCTCAACTTGGTCAACCTGCTCAGTGCGGTCATCTACCTCTGCATTCTCCTCGCCTTCCTCCAGACCTTTTTCCTCAGCTTTAGCCTGCAACGCGGTGAAGACGTCGTTGGCGTGGGGTACCATGTTGATTGGTAGGAAGGCAACGGGAGGAGAGGCAAACATGTCAGTTCCAAATCCTTGGCCGAGCTGTTCATAAGCAGCCTTCCAACCGGACTTGAAGAATATGTCCTTAGTGGCCTCGACCTGCTTGGTGTAGTTATCCCCAGCCTCCTTGAAACCGGTGTTGTTTGCTTCGTCCACCTCATCCTTTCTGGACTGCTTCAGCACATCTAGCTCGGCTCAAAGAGCGTCTCTCTCTTTCTCGACTACCCCAAGTTGACCGAGCAGTTTGGAGTTGTCAGCATTTACTATCTCCAAGGATGCCTTAGACCGCCCCAGCTCGGTCTGAAGGTGTTCCACTTGGTTGGCAGAGTCGGACACCTTCTATCGGAGTCTATGAATGCGCTCCAACACCAAGTGTTGTTTCTGGACGGCCTGTAGAAATGGAGTCTGATTAGAAACCGAACAAACACTTGGTAAATTTTGTAAAAGTTGGAAAAACACTTACCCTGGTCATGGACTTGATTGAGGACTTCACCAACCGGGTGTTCGGCACATGGTCATTGCCGACCACGTCGCTCGGCAGAAGCAAGGCTTTGGATAGGTCAAAGGTGATGCTCTTTGTCACCTTTGACCGAAGCATTTGTCGGGATCTCCCTACCTTGAGTTGTGGCCTCCAAGGCGGTATTGGGTCAGCTGCACATGGTCGCTGCCAACCACGTCGCTCGGCAGAAGGAGAGCTTTAGGGAGATCGAAGGCGAGCAGATGCTCCTTGTCGCCTTTGACTGAGGCGTTTGCCGGGATCTCCTTTTCCCGGTGCTTAAGCTGCTGCCTCCATGGCGGAATTGGGTCAGCTGTCACGACCGGCTGCTCGGTGTTGAACTCCACAACTAGCTCGACGGAAGGGTCTGCGCGAGGCCTTTTGCCAGCCCGGCAGTTGTCTCTGCTGGCCTGCCCGGCGGCTGGAGACGCCAATGTAACCATGGTCCCTCTGGGTTGCCCGACAGCTGGAGAGCGAGTTTGGATGCTCGGTATCTCGGTGGAGGTGGCGGTGATCAGGTTCTTGATGCGGCTTCTCTTGGCCATCTCTTCTGCTTCGGTCAGACGGATGAATGGAACGTCAGGAAGTGTAGGATCTGGAGGCAGAGATGGAGCGCGGAGAAATTTTGTGAACTTGCTCCGGCGTGGAGCTAAATACCGGTATGTTGGTGTGTAACCGAGGAGGTCGTGGCAGTCCCAGTTGCAGTAGCGGAGCACGGTTCTGATCGCTGCTTCGTTGGGATAACGATAGTTGGCTTGCAAAGCGTCGATTGCTGTAAAGGAAAGAAGGAAAAATGCTAAGTACAGAGCAATGAAATATGGCAAATTGACCGAGCAATTAGCACGGCTTACATGTCTCGCCGAAATTTTTGCTGATAAACCAGCCCGGCACCTCGGCCATTTCATAGTTGCCGGACACCTAGAAAAAGTCATCGTCATGCAAGTCCTTGTCTGGGGTACCGGTCACTATTTTCTCCTTGCTCGGTTTGATCTTTAAATAGTAGGCGAGGCCAGACCTAGGTTGGTTCCTAACCGGTTGTTTAGCTCGTGGACCCCATTGATTATTCTATAAATGTTGGTCGAAACCTGGGTTGGAGCTAGCCCGGTACGCCGCAAGAATTCGCAAATAAGCAGGTTGACCGGGAAGCAGAGCGCACCTTCTATGATGGAAAGCACGGTGAAGGAACACTGGTCGAATCTGCCCCAATGGGTCGTTTCCTCTTCACCGAGCTCTAGGTGGACGTCGTCCGGGATACCGTATTCTTCCTGGAACGCGGCTAGAGCGGCCAGCGTATCGACCAAGAAGCGGTAGCGCCCCATGTGTGACCGGCTGGTCTTAGCTCAGCTGAGGTGGTTTGGCAGACTGGTGTTTGATGGATGCTCAGTCTTTGAGAGCCTCAGTATTTGGCCTGTGGTCCCCTTGGACTCTGCAGTAAAAGGATGGCAAGTGTAAGTGGAAGCGCGATCGCGCAAAACGAGCTTTTAGCTTGGTCATGAAGAGTGCTAGACCACCTCGGGATGCAAAGGCATACCAAGGAGCTCGGTCGCTCAAGCGGATCAGTTGTTAGCCCGATCGAGCGGCCAAGTCCTTTGTCTACCTTGGTTTCTACTAAGGTTTTGGCAAACTTGTAAGTTGCTCGGTCTCAATGTTTTTTAGGATCAAAAGAAGACCTGGAGCCCGGTCCGCTCTAGATCTTCATGTGTTCATGTGTTCATCACTGGGATTGAAGAACAGCGAAGAGAATAGGGGCAAGTGAGGGTTTTGGGAGGGGTTTATCCTAAAACCTACGGATTTTGTGCCCTAGAATGTGAAATACCAAGTGAAAATAGCAAAAAGGGACCCGAAGGACTTACCAGTTAAGGGCATTAGTTCTCCTTCGGACACGAACTCAGGAATGGCAAGAAAGGATGGCCACAGGAGCTCTGGATCGATGAGGAGGAAGGAAGGTCAGCAAGGGGAGAATGAATGAGGATATGGCATGTTTATAGAGGAGAAAAGGCCGTCCAAATTTGAATGTGAAGGGACGTGATGGTTGGCTGCTCGAGGCCAATGGGCGAGCGACACATGTCCCTATTGACGGCAGCGTCAGTACTGAAGAGACAAGATGGCAAGTCGAGGCGTCGACCGGGCAAGTTTGGAAGCCAGTCGTATCAACTAGCCCGGTTGTCGTCTTGCAAACCAAAGACCGAGGAAGGGTCTACCCCGGTCGGATATGTAATCCCGGTCACGCTTTTGTGGACGGAATTAAGGGGTAATTGAGAGGGAGATTTATGAGCTGGATTGGGCCGCGGTAATGACCGGGCAGATTATGGGCCGAACATAATTGGGCCGTGGTAGCATGAGCCTGTCCAGAAAGGTTTTGCTCGGTTAAGGCAAAGGGCATGAGTGAACCGAGCTACTTGGCTTCTTGGTGCAAAAACCGGTCTACTGGGAGTGTGGTTGCGCTGTCTGCCTGCCTCTGTGGTTTCCACGGTTCATGCGTTAGCTCGGCATAAGGGCCGACGGCTAACCGGACCGACCTACCTCGGGCTCGGCTCGTTGGAATGCGGCCGAGCTCGGTTGTACAGGAGCTCGGCGAATGGATTATTCAGGTATGCCGCGCAGTGTGGTCAGGAGAAACCGGGGAGGTTCCGCTGAGCTCCGCCGAGGTATCCTAGTAGATTGGTTCGGTGGTGATTGCTGGATTTGTGCTGACTGATGAGATAGTAGCACCACGTGTCGAGAGACTAATGGGAGTAGATTGGGGCGCATAAGGTATAGCCCCCCATGCTGGACAAATGATCATTTGGTGAGAAAAACACTTACACTGAACTCTCCTCTCTCTCTCTCTCTCTCTCTCTACCTGAGTGTGTGCTAACTTGACCGTCGGACGGGTTTTCCGACCACACACCGCCGGGTAGCTCACCGCTATTGTGTTCGCAGGTCGATCGGACAGACAAAGAGCTTGGAAGAAAAGAGTATGGGCTCACCGGAATATTTGCTCCTCGTACACATATGAGTGTATAAAACAAATCAAAAAAGAAAAAAAAAATGTACAAAAGAAATTAAATGTGTATAATTAAATCAAAATACTTTGAAGGTTCTTAATTTTTATTATGAATTTTAAATATTTGAGAGTAGTTATATATGGTATCGGCTGTCGAGCTCCCAGTAGTGTGGGCTGGCAGTTTGGTTAGGTAGCGTTCAGCTAGATTTGTGTTGACAGATGGGATAGTAGCACCACCTGCCGAGAGACAAATGAGATTAGATTTGGGGCATAGAAGGTATATAAGCATGTCTGCGCCCCCATGCCGTGACAGATGAACATTGGGTGAGACTTACACTAAATACTCAACTCTCTTCTCTCTCTCTCTCTCTCTATCCCTGTGTGTGTTCTAACTTGATTGTCGGAGGAGTTTCCCGGCCACACACCGTTGAGTAGCTCATCGCCGTTGTACTAGCAGGTCGATCGGACAGACAAGGGCTTAGAAGAAAGGAGTGCGAGCTTGCCTGAATATTTGCTCCCTGTACAATATTAATTATTTGTTTGGTTCTAATTTTTGAACTCAAATTTCTTGAGAATTGAATTTTTTATTTTTAGTGAATGTTCTTAATAATTTAAACAAATTTTTTACTTTTAAAATGCACCTAACCTATATTTACCTTAAAAGTGAAATATTTGTAAAAAAAATATTTTAAAAAATCAATAAATACACAAGAATATGAAAATATATTAAATTTTTGTATTTTTTGTATTTGGTGAATTTTTAAAAGATGTTTTAGGTGTATTTGTGTTATGTATATTTAAAAACTAAGATATTTGCGTCAAATATTAAAAAAAGTTAATGAAAACAAAATAATATAAAAAATAAAAAAAACTCAATTTCCTAAGAAGTGGGTTTAAAATTATGAGACCAAACAAGGTGGTATTCTTGTACTTTTTGGTGGGCACCACTGCAAGCCCATCAAAATGATGTAAATCATTTATATTGTAGAACACGGTAAATAAATTAAGAAAAATATTAAAAAGATAGGAAATAGAAAAAATAATTGTAAATTTATAAATTACAACACTTATTTGCATAATTTAGTACATAAATTATTTGTACTTTTATGAATTTATAATTATTATTTTTAATTTCTCACCTTTTTTTCTTTTTTCTTTTTATATTTTCCCAATAAATTATTCATATAGTATCGATATAAAAAAACATATTAATTAAATATTGATAATTGCATAATCAAATTACATTCTTAATTTTCTAAGATTAATGTGATATAATTATGTAAGAATGATGTACAATCAATCTGATAAATGCGATATAATCAGACCAAGCTGAGCTTACTGGAACCGTGGATGAGGACACAACTATCCTTATTCCATCTAGGCACTACGCTTCTGTCTAGCCCAGTCTTAGACCAACTCATCAATTCAAAATGCTGACTTGGATCTACTCGGCTTTAATTGTTTTTTTTTATTTTTTGGATAGGACTCGGCTTCACTTGTTGGTCGGCCTATCCATCAGACAAACTCATTATTTACTTTTATTTTTTTAAAATAAAAATATACATTTAAAAGAACAAATGCAACCAACAATTGAATCACATAGTTATTAATTTTTAATTTTGTAACAGTTATTTTTATTTTTTTTTGCCAAAAAACATTTGTTTTTTTATTTAATAATTTTTTTTTGGATGTGCTTATATTGTAATAAAATTTTAATATCAATTTTTTTTTTTTAAAGCATTGTCCCAGCCAACAAGGACATCTATGGTATGGACTCAAATCTGGAACAATGCTAATTTATACAATATTTATATGATGAGGGTAGAAACCACACGATACAAGACTTATATTATATGTAAATATTATGTAAAAAATGTAATAATTTTTGTGTGGGTAGCATTCACCACTAAATTTGCACTCTTAACACTTTTTTTTTACCATATATGTGAGTAAAGTATTTAAAACGGCGAAAAACAATGAATGTAAATGTGAATAAGTCAAATTTACACTAAAACACTTCAAATGTGAATGTGAACCAACATTGATGCATTATAGAATAACAAAAAATGACTAACTTCTTCTTCATATAATCCGACAGGTACGAGGTCCAAGACTGAAAGATTCGGTGGAGGTTGTGTCTCTCAAACCATTCCACCTCAGCATGGTAGAAGGTAATGCGTTTTGATAGACGGTTAAAACAACCCTACTTTACGCGAGAAGTATTTTTATATTTATATATTTAAAAAAAAAAAACTTAAAAACAGTTACCTCCTCCCCATTTATTTTTTAATTTCAGAAATCCCAAGTCTGCAATTGGAATCCAAGTCTACAGTTCAAATCCTAGAACCAAGACATCTGATCCCCTAAAGTTTATAGTTTCGGTTTATAGTTTCGGTTCTTCCAAATTCAAAATGAAACCTTCATAGTTTAACTAAAAACGTTAAGTAAAAATACATTTATTTTATTATTTTATAAATCACAAGTTAAATAAAATAAATTGGTGAATTTTTCAAATGAAATTGTTTTAACAAAAGGTGAAGACTTATGCGTTGTAATAATGAATTGATTGCACTATTATATTACAAAGGATTTTAAGTAATGTTTGAAATAAAATAATAGAAAATATATTGTAAGGGGGTGTTTAGGATGTGGATTTGAGGCTAAAATAGTTAATAATAATAATATGTCACATTCAAATTTTTTTTCCCTCACAATCATCAAATCAATTATAAAGAAAAAAAAATCAACTATCATCCTATATATAACTTTAATAAATATATTAAAATAGTTAAAAAAATTAACTAAAATAACTAAGTTTTCAAACGAGCCCTAAATAAAATTATCATTTGTCATTATAAAAGAATGACCATTCTATATAGGAGTTTAAGGAATAACCATTATACTTAATTTCATCTCATTTTAATGTTGCTGGTAGATAAAAATATAATTATCTAATAAATGAATCACATGGGCAAAATAAAAAAATGAATATTACATTACATGTCATACAATTGTGTCTCATCCTTCTGGTGTACTTTTTTCTTTTCTTTTTTTCTCCCTTTTATTTAATACCATAAAATAGTTTGTAATAAAAAGTAAATTATTTAGGTTTATTTTTAAATTAAAAAAAAAAAGAAAAAAATATTTTCATGTAGTATTTATTTAACTTTGGCAATTTGAAGTTTGAAGGGAGGGTAAGTATTACTATACATGATTATTACTAATACTATGAGTATGAGAAACTTAAAAAAGGCATATTACAATATAAATCGTGCATGCAGAGGAGTACAGGGAAGAGCTGGCCATTGCACACGTGAGACGACTCCTAGACATCGTCGCGTGTACCACCTCTTTTGGTTCGTCTAAAATCTCCGGTCGAATGAGTCCAAAAGAACCCGGTTCCAACGAGGTCGAAACCGGTGTAGAAAGCGCGAGTTGCGAAGCCAATTCGAAGGCGAAAGGAGGCGGGGACAGAAGGTCGACGACGTTCTCGGCCGCCCAGAGACCAACTACTACTCATCATGGTTCCAATGGCGATACGACTGAGAAGGGTGATGTGGCGGTGGCGTTATGCCCGCCGCCGAAACTTGGGCAATTCTACGACTTCTTCTCGTTTTCTCACCTCACTCCGCCAATTCAATGTGAGTTTTTCAGTTTCTACTCTACGATATGCATAATTTCATTTTTATCTCCTTTTTTCTCATTCTTTCTACACACAAAACAAAACAAAGCAAAACAGAACAATTATAGGCTTTATGAAGAAAGCTTTTGTCTCAACCTAGGGAGGAGGTGAGTGTAATTTACCCTTTTTATTTCTACTGTTTAGATGCATGTTGCTAAGTTGGCCACCCACGGGCTAGTTAGTTGGCCATCCAGTACACTTTAAAATGGTTAAACATCAATCTTTGTTAAATACAAAAATTAAATAATTTCTCTCACTTATTGTTGGTGGCTAGTTAGTTGGCCATCCAATACACTTTAAAGTGGTTAAGTATCAATCTTTGTTAAATAAAAAAATTAAATAATTTCTCTGACTTATTGTTGGGCTAGTGAGACGGTGATTTCTTCCCTATTATGTGGTTGGTTATTGGGCGCATATATATGTTAAATTATGATTGTATACATATTTGTGTGCAGTGGCGTAGTTAGGATTTTCCTTTAGCAGGGTCATTTAACAAAGTATCATCAATGTCATATATCATATTTTTAGTTCTACACAATCTGTCAATATTCACATAATATTCTATAAATTTCATATATTTGCAAATCACAATGACAAAAGTAACCCAAACTAGTAAAATTACAAGTAAAAATAAAATATTGGGATATTAACACTATTACTTCAACAAAAATAAGAAAAGCAATAGTTAATGGAGAGAACCAAAAGTCGATGTCCAGTCTCCAAGAAGAATAAACAAACGTTGGTTTGTTTCTAGAAACCTAAATTTTTGAATAAAGTTTAATTTTGTTTTTACCTACTGGGTCAATTTGTAAAAGTTTAAAAATTAATTTATTTTATTTAGGCCCACTAGGTTCAATTTGTAAATACTCATAATTTTTTACATATACTCTATCAAAAATTTGAAGTTCATGGTGTCAATTGACACCACTGTTCAAAGCATAGCTCCGCCCCTGTTTGTGTGTAAAATATGATATTGCAGTTTTGTCGGTAGGAGATGGGTCGGATTGATCCAAGCACTTCACGGGTTGACCATTCCTCGTCTTCCTAATTTCACTCGCAACAAGTCCAGTAGGAAGGTTCCAAAATGGGGGTGGTTCCTTCCTACTGACCCTTCGATGACCAAGTTAGAGATGTAGATATGGTGAGGGTAAGAACTTAGAAAAATTAAGAGAACAGGAATGGAGAGTGAGGAGTAAATTACTTGTTACCAAACGTTTCTTAGAAGTTTCTTTATATCTCTTATTAATTATTTTCTTATCTATTCATGTTGTTCCATTGGCCAAAAGTCTATCACCTGCTTGCTGTCGACTATAGCCATTTCACCATGCTTCAGACTGAGAAGTCTTATTGCATTTAATGCCTTGACAGTTGCTTTTAATGCTTGGCGGTTGGTTCAACATCTTTGTAGAATCTTTGTCAGCCAGATGGCTAGGCTCTTGCTTGACATATGTCCAGCTGGTGCTTGGACTTGACTATTGTGAGTTCTCTATTAGGCCGTGTTGGGCTGTTCTGCTGAGCTTTATGATGATAACTAATCAAATAATTGTTTGGGAAACCCATAGCAATCATGGGTTGAGCCCTCCGAGGCCCTGCCCCATCAAAATGTGTTTATTTTTATTTTTTATTTTTTTTTATGTATGTTTTAAATTTTTTAAAATTTTAACCTGGATAATAGCAGAATGGTGAGATAGGTTGGTATAATTGGCATTTTGTTGCTTTTCTACAAACTTGAAACCCAAACCTATGTTACAAATCTACACACAAGTTCAATAAAATGTTATTTGGTTGATGAGAAAATGGATGAAAGTGGAAAAGAAATGAAATTTTGGTTAGATGTTGAACTTGGTAATGGAGTGGCAGTAAATTCAACTTGACTGCGTATAGTCTTACAGCCCATTTGAATTGAGTGATTTGGAGGAAAAAGAAAAAAAAAAAAAGTTTTTGGATTTAATCTCGCGTTTTGATTAATTAAAGATGAGGAAATTGGGAAGAAATAGACAAAAACAAGTTTCTCTTTTTTAAAAAATATTTTTGGAGAAAAAAGAGAGGCTAATGCTACTTTTCATAATACTGAAAACTACCCATCTAAATATAAATGAAATAACATAATAAGAGTTTATTTTGGTAAAACAATATAAGTGTTTATTATTATTAGTTTTTATATAATCTAATGATAAAAATCATTTTTTTAATGTCAAATTTAACCAACCAAGAAGGAGAGGAGAGGAATACAAACTTTTCTTCTCAATTCCAACTTAAGTAATCCTTTCTTTTCTTTTCTCTGATTGATTTCCAAATGGGCTGAGTTTCAAATTTTGTGGAGATTTTGTTAGGAAAATCAAGAAATAAAATAAAGTTCCCATTGTCAACTTTGTTATTTCTTTTTCCCTTCTATTTCTTCTTAGCAACTAAACAACGTAGGAGTGTTTAATTGTTGATACAAAATATTTATCCACAAATTTTTCCAGTACTGTTGGGTTGATAACAATTAAAATTTGATTTTCTTTCTTTTTGTTGGATTGTGTTTAAGGATCAAAATTTCCTTTTGGCTTTAGAACGAAAACATTTCAGAAATATAAAAAGAAATGACAAAAGAATTTGGAAGCATATGAAATTGTCTGGAAATAAAAATCTATAACCAATATAAATGCCAATGCATTGTCAATAATTAAATAATTTAATATGTCGAGGTCTAAAATTGTTAGATGCTCATAAACAAAAGGTTTAAAAGCTTTGTTGGTGAATGGACTTTGCCTTTGTAAGCAACACATAAAATAAAGAAAATGTAAAATTCTAGTAGTAAAGATGAAAAGAGAAAAAAGAAATAATATTGTGATAATATTTATAAAAAATATTTTGTGGAACCCCGAGGGGTTTGGCTTAATGGGAAGAGAAGGCAACCAAAGGGCTTACCACCCAAGAAGTTGCAGGTTCGAATCCCACAAAGGTCAAACATCCCAAACCTTGGAGCCACTTATCAAAAAAAAAAAAAAAAAAAAGTATTTTAAAAAAAAAGAAGTATTTTACAGTAACAAAGAAATAGAATAAGTTACTTATTTATCGTTTTCGTTTCCTCTCTGTCTCAACTCTTTTCCTTTGTAGTTTGACAACTTATTGTTTCGCTATGGTTCGATGCGTTTCAGAGTGTTTTAGTATATTTCAGTGGAAACATTGGAATTTCATGATAAGAACTACTAGAATTTCATGATTGTGTTGTCGGTAAGGTGTATTATCATTACCAATAAATTGATTCATTATTTCTCATTATGAATTTGTTTCTTTGTGGACACTAAGATTCTTTCCTTGTTCTTATTATGTTTTAATGGTTTGGACTTTGTTCTTGTCACAGTTCATTTTATAGTTCATCTTCTTCTTTTTTTCTCCACTTATTTGAAAGTTGAATTGGAATGCCTGGTTTCTTTAGGGGATATTCTAGTAGTTCTTGTCTTCTACAGACCAAAGTTGACTCCTTTTGGTTGGCTTAATCTTGCCATCTTTTAGATTGTTGTTCTCATGAGTTCATGGCATTTTTTTGTATTGTACATCATCTTTCTGAAAGTCAAATGGCATTTTTCGCTCATGTTTATTTGTGATTTAGGCCTTTCCTGCAGTTCTGCTTATAAATTTATAATGATTGGAGTTGACTTGTTTCTTGTCAGTTTTCTTGAAAATGCATTTAACTTATTTCATTCTTGGCATCTTCTTAAAGTCAAAAAGGTCTTGTTTGTTAATTGTGTTTTGGTTCTGCAGACATTAGGAAATCCACTCGTCCATTCCTTGAGGATAAAACAGAAGACGATTTCTTTCAAATTGATGTGAGGGCCCCCGATTTAATTATTTGATTTCTTGCTATGACAATATTATGTTGAACATTATTGTTGTTATGTAACTTGTGGTGGTGGTGATTTACTAATATATGGCTTTTGTGGGATGGATGTATGAATGTATATGCAGGTCCGGGTTTGCAGTGGGAAGCCAATGACTATTGTTGGTTCCAGAAAAGGGTTTTATCCTGCTGGAAAACGTATTCTTTTGGGTCACTCTTTGGTTGGTTTGCTACAGCAGATAAGCAGGGTCTTTGATGCTGTAAGTATTGATTCTTTAGAATTTTCGTCGCAGTTATTTTATCTCGTGGATTATGTTAGTTTGCATTTGTTGGTTCCCTTCTAGTTTTACTTTTAATATGGAAGTTCCTATTCAGCACTTTAAGTTATTTTGTTTTAGCAGGCATACAGAGCTCTCATGAAGGCTTTCACCGAGCACAATAAGGTAATTTTACAATAAACCTTCAGATTCTTCACACCTAATAATGTTTGGAGAAATGAAAGTGCAGTTACATTTGTTGTTTCAGTTTGGGAACCTTCCGTATGGTTTTCGAGCAAACACATGGGTTGTCCCTCCAGTTGTTGCTGACAACCCATCTACTTTCCCTCCGCTTCCTGTGGAAGACAAAAACTGGGGAGGAAATGGCGGTGGACAAGGAAGACATGGTAAACATGATTGTAGACAGTGGGCAAAAGAGTTTGCGATTCTAGCAGCAATGCCTTGTAAAACCCAAGAAGAAAGGCAAATTCGAGACAGGAAGGCCTTTCTACTTCACAGTCTATTTGTCGACATTTCAGTCTTTAAAGCTGTTGCAGCCATCAGAGATTGCATTGACAATAACCATTACTCAACAAAAGACTTCACTGCTTCGGTTTTGCATGAGGAATATATTGGAGATTTACACATCAGGGTGATGAAAGATGTTCCCGATGCGAGCACAAAGTTGGATGGTAAAAACGATGGGAGTCAAGTTCTTGGAATGTCACAAGAGGAGCTTGCTAAGAGAAACTTGCTTAAAGGAATAACTGCAGATGAAAGTGCGACTGTTCATGTCAGTAAATTATTTGCATCCTATTTTTTGCTTCATTTAATGACTTGACTACAAGTTCTTGTAAATTACTTAAATGATTCTACTGATATTAAAGACGGACATATTCTGTTCTTTCAGGATACCTCCACTTTAGGTGTAGTTGTTGTTAGACACTGTGGCTACACGGCTGTTGTGAAAGTTGCGGCTGAGGTAAACTGGGAGGGTAAACTTACACCACAAGACATTGATATTGAGGATCAGCCTGAAGGAGGTGCTAATGCATTGAATGTAAATAGGTCAGTGCAATAAGGGTTGGCTTAGTTAGTAGTGATGAGTTATTGTGGGACCAAAATGGTGATACTGACCTATCACCTGCTTATTTTGTTAGATACTTCTTACTTTATACCCAAATAAATCATGTATCGAGCATGTTTGCTGTTCTAACAATGCAGTCAGCATGGTTGCATCATATCATATATTTAATTTCAGTATTATTTGTAATTAATCATTGTTTACTTTGATGATTACTTTTCAGCTTGAGAATGCTATTGCACAAGTCATCCACACCCCAATCATCTATTGTAATTCAAAGATTACAGAGTACAGATATTGAAGATTTACTTTCTGCTAGGTCTTTGGTAAGGAGAGTGCTAGGTGAAAGTTTGCTTAAGTTGCAGGGAGAAATCAGTAGACACACAAGCTCTATCAGATGGGAGCTTGGAGCATGTTGGGTGCAACACTTGCAAAATCAGGCTTCTGGGAAAACTGAATCTAAGAAAAATGAAGAAGCGAAGGTTGAGCCTGCTGTCAAGGGTCTTGGAAAGCAAGGCGGAATGCTCAGGGAAATTAAGAGGAAAACAGATGACAGGAACAGCAAAACTGAGCAGGCAAAGGAAGTTTCAGTCAACAGCCTTGACATGAACAAAAAGTCAGACACCACTCTTCAGGAGGAGGTTGAGAAACAAGATGAGGAAAAGGAAATGATATGGAGAAAGCTACTACCTGAAGCAGCATATTTGCGCCTTAAAGAATCAGAAACTGGCCTTCACCTCAAGGTTTACTTGTTGCCTTTATAATTCCATACATATCTGCTCAAATATTGCTGTTTGTTTTTGCAAGTCAAATAGCTAGCTCATGTCTGAATCCTGTGGAGTCATATCGTATAGAAATGAAGTTCCTTTAGCTGATCACTTACCAAGCCTTCTTGATACATATATATTTTTGTGCTTCCATTCATGTTTGCAGTTGCCTGATGAGTTGATTGAGATGGCACATAAATACTATGCTGATACTGCACTTCCAAAACTGGTTAGTTCCTTGTGAATGGGTACTTCCGTTATATCTGCAATTTTTTGGGACTAAGCATTATCTGATTGTTGCAAATTTGCCTTCTTATAGGTGGCAGATTTTGGTTCGCTTGAACTTTCACCAGTTGATGGAAGGACGTTGACAGATTTTATGCATACCAGGGGTTTGCAAATGTGTTCCTTGGGGCGTGTGGTAATTGCTTTATTTCATTAATTTATTTTGTTTCAAAGTCTTTTGTATCTTGGTCTATCTTACTAGAGAATGCTAGTGCCCTAAGAATTTACTTTGTTTCAGAATGCATGCTCTGAAATATGATACACCTCCATTTCAACAGTGAATTTAGTGATGCCCAAGTTTTTCCTATTTTATTGGATGCTTAATGCTTGAAAGAAATTTGTTCTCACATTCAGAAGTAACTTACATTCTAATATTAATGTGATTTATACAAGCCTATTCTTAGAGCACCACAATTTAGGGCATGTGGTGTATCACATTCCTCGTACCAGAACATTCCATGTTCTACTTGCCAACAGTTTATTATCAACTTTAACAATCTTTCATGTAGAACTTCCGGCTCCTTTAAAATCGAAAAATAAAAAAACTTTCTCCATTGAGTTATATTGTCAAATACTCTAGAGATAGAAATGAATGGTAGTAATCAGTATTGGAGAGAGAAATGTCAGTAAACACTATAGGCTGCCCATAAGTACAAAAACTACTAGCGTTTTTAAAGATGTAATGTAATGTCATAGAACTTTGATTTTACAAATTTTTGGTAGAGAATTTATTTTAGGGCAAATTACATAAATAGTCCCTATAGTTTGGGGCTTGTGTCACTTTGGTCCCTGACTTTTCAATTGTGACACATTTGACCCTGAATTTTAAATCTTGTTTCAAATAAGGATAATTGAAGATATCATTAAATTTTTCAAGGGTAAAATTGTCAATTTGATAAAATATAAACTAATTTAACAAAAATAAATGTTAAACAAATATTTTTGAATTTTTAAAAATTCTTTCTACCTACTAAAAATAAAATTATGTAAAATTGATAAATCTTTTAGACATTTATTTATTTTTTTTACCAAATTAATTTTTATTATGTGTTTGGATGATGATCATGTAAAATTAATTTAAAAAAATTAATCATGTAATTTTTATTAATTTTACATAATTTTATCATAATTTTTAAAAAATTAAAAATATTTTTTTGGCATTTATTTTTGTCAAATTAGTTTATATTTTATCAAATTGACAATTTTACCCTTGAAAAATCTAATGATATTTTCAATTGTCCTTATTTGGAGCAAGATTCAAAATTCAGGGTCAAATGTGTCACAATTGAAAAGTCAGAGACCAAGGTGACACAAGTCCCAAAATATAGAGACTATTAGTGTAATTAACCCTTTATTTTAATTAAATTGGCATTCATGTATATACAACACTCTTTAATGTTTTTCATCCTTCTCAGATATTAGAAAATTCTAGATCTATATTTCTAATCCTTCGGGGAAATGAGTTTCCTTGATTGATTTTCTTTTGAACTCAATTTTCCCTCTTCCTTTTAACATTGTTTGATTTTTCTTCTATTTTAGTTTTCAGTTTTTTGAAAGAGAAGAAAAGAATGATCAATAAATCTTATAGTCACTTACCCTAAGCACCAACAAAAAATTGACATGCTAGAATAGATTGCTGGCTTAGGGCTTTAAAGCTTATATTTTCCCCTCTTTTTTCCTCCTTATCATGCTAGGTTGAACTTGCAGACAAGCTTCCTCATGTGCAGTCACTGTGTATCCATGAGATGGTTGTTCGAGCCTACAAACACTTACTGCAAGCTGTTGTAGCAGCCGTCAATAATTTTGCTGACTTATCTGGGTCACTAGCATCATGTTTAAATATATTGCTGGGAAAACCATCAAGTGAAAATCCTGATGCAGACAATACTAATGATGATCATTTGAAATGGAAGTGGGTGGAAACATTCCTTCTGAAGAGGTTTGGGTGGCAGTGGAAATCTGAGAGTCAACAGGATCTGAGAAAGTTTGCAATTCTTCGTGGGCTTTGCCATAAGGTATGATTTTTTGCTCTAGAGGAAGTGGAGGTCGTGCCTTAAACCGTATTTATTTTCTATACAGTAATTTTAAAAGGAGTTGTCTTTCATCAGGTTGGACTTGAGCTTGTCCCCAGGGATTATGATATGGACTCTGCAACCCCCTTCAAGAAGTCAGATATTATAAGCATGGTCCCCGTATACAAGGTACAATACATAGATAATTCACTTCAGAACTCACATGTTGAATTTTTGGTAAGCTCTTTGAGTAAGTTCGGAAAATTTGGATATTTTCTACAGCATGTTGCATGTTCATCTGCGGATGGCCGTACATTGTTGGAATCATCCAAGACTTCCTTGGATAAAGGCAAATTGGAGGATGCTGTCAATTATGGCACTAAGGTATCGAAAATTGCTTTCTTTTTTTTCTTTTTTTTTTGGGGTAAGTCCTAAAATAAAACAATGAAATATAAAAGTTTACAAAAGGCAGGTCCCAGGCAATTCCTACTGTTGGCTACATATTTTGTAAAAGCTAATCGCAGCTTGACACATGGTACATGAGGGGCAATTCGGGAAATTAATACAAGTCTCCAATCAAAGACAGACACCTGGCAGGTCATATTGGTTATAATGGATCTGCGCAGCACTGGAAAAGCTAGAAGGCGCAAGATGACGTGGCCTAACAGTTACTCATGAATTCAAATTCAAAATCCAAGAGGGAAGCCTAACTGCAAGAATGGCGTAGTGAGACTGACTGTGAGAGAGCATGGTCAGCAATCATGGAAGGATATTTCGATGGTTGGAAGCCCACTTCGACGGTTACCCTTGGAGAGTACAAATTGCAGGGAAGGCCCCAAATTGAAGGACTCAGACTCAGATTTAGACACCAGTTTCAAAAATTTATTAAGATTTAGAGGACGATATAAATGCAACAAAATGGAAGTGAATGGTTCAGAACCTAAAAACAGAAAGGAAAAATGTTGTGTTGCTGCCTTGCTACCTCATCACACCATATTTGGCTTTACCTATCCTATCAAGTTTGTGATTTTGGGGGACACATAATAGCAACATGTGGATTTCCAAGGCCAAGAGGAACAATAGAGATTAACAAGTATACAAAGGAATAGTACGAAATTGCTCACTCTAGTTCGGTATCATGTCAAAATTGCAGCAGGGAACATGTATTTGTAAGTGTGCTTTACTCATTGCACGCTGCACACACCATTTAGAAAACAAAGGTCATTCATCTCCACGGCCAACCTATATCCTCTGAATTAGCATGGAAAACAACTACTTAGGGCTGTAGATGTCAAAGTAATCTTACTACATATCCCATTTAATGGGTGACAATTTGCAAAAGACAACCTTGGCAGAAGTGGATTATGCAAGATAAAGTATGGAGATAAAAGGACAATTAAACTGCAAGTATTGAGTCGCTTCTTTGATAAATTTAACCAGATTTTCATTTCGAGTATAACTTCTGTTTCACTTAATAATTACAAATATAAATGTCATCTAGAGATTCCGATTGACTTGTGATTGATTGTACTGACCTCATTTACTTTAATTAGGCTACTATCTATCAGCAAAAAGCTTTGGATATCAATGAGAGAGAGTTTGGACTTGATCATCCAGATACAATGAAGAGTTATGGAGACCTAGCTGTTTTTTACTATCGGCTCCAACACACAGAACTAGCCTTGAAGTATGCCTTAAGAGTATTTCGTATCCTAAGCTTTTCTCCTTAGTGTAGTGTTGCTACTCTTTTTGTTTAATATCACACTCACTTCTTTGATTCTCTGATCAGTACTTGTTATCTCTATTGTCTTGTGCTATGTTCCCTGTGTCTCTTGCACATATTAAGAGATATGAACTCCACATGGAATTAACTTTTGAACTACTTGAATTCTTGAAACTCAAAATTAATTCAAGATTGCTGGGAAAGTGAAAAGTCAATTTGCACTGTTTTGAATGTGGTTGAAATAGCATAATGATTTTCAATTGATTCAGATTCTATTTGTTCACGGAAATGGAGGAGCAGTAGATATTTTGCAAAACTGCTCTGGTGAAACGATCCTTGGGAGTTATTTTATTTTAATTGATATGAATATTTTTGTTCAAGCTGTAGTCCTAGTTGTCATTATTCAAATTTTTACGGTTAAGTATGGTTAGACCATGCACTTTCATCCCTATTCTGGGGTCTCGTAGTTCAGTCTACTTGACTGTGCCCCAGGCAAGAGTGGCTAATGTAGTTTTTCAATATTTTCTAAAGCTCCTTAACACAACACATATCAATCAATACAATCAATCAATAATATCAATAGATACATTTATTCTGTATTTCTCTCTTCATACATTGAATTTATCAGGCCGAGTTTATGCTAATGGACTCAGACACAAGAGTAGGGTGTAAGTGTGTTTTTAGGGGCTGGATTCATCTAACTCTCCATTCTTTAGGACTTAGCGTACTCTGAATCAAATGCCCCATTTTCCTGTTTATGCACCCATGGTTTGTGTAACACTTAGTACCCCATTTTCCAGCTTGTGCAAGAATTGTTTGTGTAACACTTGGTACCCATTTTGAAATTTCATGCAATAGAGATGCATACTAAGTTATTATCTTAGGAACTTTTAGTTATTTAAGAATAGTTTTCTCTCTTCTTTTGGTTTGATAGTTAAAATTCAGGATGCATACTACATGTACTTACTGTTGCATGTGTTCAAAAGTGTGCTTGTGAGATTCACCCTCACTTTTTAGCCGGATAATGTTACATGCTGTATCTGTAAGTTGGGATTCATGTTAAAAATTCTTGCATGGTTCTTCTGTTTCTCGCTGTTTTTTGTGTGTGTTAATACTAGGTACTATAAAATTTCTTCAATAGCATCGAGATGATGCTCATTCTATCAAAGATGAACAATTTATGTTTCTTATGTTTCTATTCTAGGTATGTTAATCGTGCATTGTATCTTTTGCATCTAACATGTGGACCTTCTCATCCAAACACTGCTGCCACCTATATCAATGTAGCAATGATGGAAGAAGGTTTGGGAAATGCCCATGTTGCCCTTAGATACCTCCATGAGGCTCTCAAGTGTAATCAAAGGCTACTTGGAGCTGATCATATACAAGTAATGACTCTCTCTCTCTCTCTTTTTGTGGAAGAACATCCCAATAGTTGGTGTAGAAATGTTGGTGGACTATTAAAGTTGACTATGAATTTCTATTGCAAACTTTTAGATGTATTCGTAATGGAAAAATAATGTAAAACTAATTTTTTGTCCTAGAATTTATCTGTTTTTTTTATTTTTTTTTATTTTTATAATTTAATTTTATCATATATATATATATTGTTGATAGAAAGAAAGAACAATGGGCTATAGAATGGATTTTGGAAGTTAATGAGGTGAGCACAGAGACGATGTTGATATACCTTATTTTAAGGTTGAAAATGAATTTCTTGTTTAACTTTAACTGGAAGAAAGTTTTAGATCCTAATTGAAGTCAGGTAGAATGCTTATAAATTGATATGCTTTGTCAATTTGATCAGAAGACTGACATTCATCATTACCAATGTAGTTACTGATGAACTAGTTCATTTTGCTTCTTTTTTTTTTCAGTTACATTTTTAATAATTATTTTCTCTTACATAGACAGTTGAATTTTGTAATATGACAATAAGGTGGAATATGGAGAGATACAAAAAAGAGAAAAGAAAGAATACAAAGGATTAACGTGGTTTAGCCAATCTTGGCCGACATCCACACACACAAAGCCCTATGGGCTACATCTTTCATTCGCTCATTTTCATCCTCTTGATTACATGGTACACCATATATATAGAGTGGGTGATGCAATTAAATCCCTTCAGTTAAGGAATTGAAATAAATCGAAGATACAAAAAATCATGACAAACATTAATCATGGGATCTCCATATATTATGATATCTTTAACACTATAATCTTATCTTCAACATACACTGCTTTTGCGGTATTGGATGACTAAACCTAGACAAGGGCCAAATATGACTATGTATTTAAGGCGGCAAGATAGCTGGGTTTCCAGGTCTACCCAACTTTTCGTTTACAATTATTAGAAGTAACACACACCGATAGTAGAAGTAACACACACCAATAGCTTAAACTAATGTGAAGGGACTTATTATTGGTAGCCAGTTTGGGTGCTGGCCGGTTGACATAATCAGTTGGTTCACATTGCTTGCTATTGTAATTAACAGGCATATCTTTCCAATTGTGAAGATAATGTCTATGCCTTTTGGAGGATGAGTGGTCCTCTTGAGTCTTATTGTGTGTGTGTAATATGTTAGAATTATAGATATAAGCTTGCATATATCTTGCCATGTTTAATCCCTGTATCTGGGCTTATTCAGACTGCTGCCAGCTATCATGCTATTGCAATTGCTCTATCGTTAATGGAGGCCTACTCCTTGAGTGTTCAGCATGAACAAACCACACTACAGATTCTGCAGGAAAAACTTGGATCAGATGATTTACGTACACAGGTAACTTTTAATACTTTTCACATTTGGTAAATGTGCCTCATGATTTTAAGTGGTACCTTCTTTGTCCTCAATTTGATCTGTAAGCTTTTGTAGGATGCGGCTGCTTGGCTTGAATACTTTGAGTCCAAGGCTCTAGAGCAGCAAGAGGCTGCACGCAATGGTACGCCAAAACCAGATGCTTCTATTTCCAGCAAAGGCCATTTAAGGTAATGCTTCTTCTGCTGCTCTTCTTTCTATCTCCACCAAAGGCCATTTATAGTGTGACTTTCTAATGCTCGACTGTCAATGATTTTGGAATATGCTTACCTCATGATGGATATGCGAATTCTATAGTGAAGCTTAATGCGTGTATCATCATGTATATTTTCTCACAATTTTTTATTCATAGATTGGTTTTTGATAGTTTGTTGACATTGATATTATGAGGGTCTGTTTCTGATGTTTTGTTGTTGCTGTCATATTATAATTATTTCTTGTTTCCTGAGATCTGGAATTGCGCGTGTTAAATGATCACTAATCCCAAAAGCTTAAGCTGTTAGGAAAGGGGCTCAACTATGCATATCAAGTTCTCCAACACATGCAACCTTGTATTGCATATGAAGTTGCAAACATCCAAACTAGTAAAGAAACAAAATGTGTATAAGGAAATAAATGCAAACAAAGAGACTTAAACCCAAGACCACTCCTAACCTGAGCTTTGATACCATGTTAGATCACCACTAATCCCAAAAGCTGAAGCTGTTAGGAAAGGGATCCCACCATGCATATCAAGCTCTCCAAAAATGTAATGCTGCATCCTAGTGCACTGAAAGTTATTTCTATAGGTTCCAATGAAGGTGATTCACTATGGCATTCCATTGTTTGTAGTATTTTTAAACAGAAAGTAATATATACTAGACACAGAGATTGAAGAAGAAAAACACTGAATTTTTAATTCTTTTTGCCCACCAACTTGGACTCTACAATGCTCTTTAAATAGAGAACTATCCACTAACTCCACTACCTGAAAAATAGCAACAGACCCATGAACAATAACAAACACTATCCACTAATCCAACTATCCTAAAAACTATGACACTGCTTGACACAATCCCTACATAAGCTGAAACTACATATCACTATTTTAAATAAGTCAAAGACCATTAACTTGAACTCATACATGAAATGGACTCACTAAAATAAATCTGAACATGTTTGAATTAGATTCTCAACATTGTTAAGAGCAAATATGGGGTCCATGTTAATGGTAGAGATTCTCAAGTAGCAATTAGATGTAATGGTTGATCTCCTTGGAAGTGTATCTCTTACATTTTGCTGCTTTGGTTTAGATTTCTCTTGAGGGTGGGGAATGGGGATAATGTTCGCTTTTGGGAGAATGTTTGGGTGGATAATTCTTCTTTTGAGTGTGCTTTTCCACATTTATGTAGAGTGGCTAAGTCCCATAATTTTGCCATCTCTTCTTTGGCATGTTCTAATGTTGCACTGGTCTCTTGGAATTTTAATTTTTTTAGAAATCTTAATGATTGGGAGACTTGTGAGTTGATATCGTTGTTATCCCGAATTGACCATGTTTCTTTGTCTCTAAATTTGAGTGGTAAGCGGGTTTGGTTCTTACATTCTTCAAGGGAGTTCACATTGCAAGTCCTTTTTTGAAATAATCATTGACAAATCAAGTGTGCCTTCTTTCCCCCTACACAAAGTAAATTGAAAATCTTTTGTGCCGCTGAAGTGAAGATTTTTATGTGGTCGTTGGCTTTGGGAGACATCTTGACCAATGATACCTTTTGAAAGACGAGGCCAAATTGCTTTGTCTTCAATGGTGTTTATATGTAAGAAAGGTGAGGAGTCTTTGAATCACCGTTTCTTACATTCTTGTGGCGTTGAGTTTGTGGCGTCGACTTTTTCGTTTGATGGATTTATTGTGGGTGGCTCCAATAGAAAGTATTGATCTTCTTTTTATTGACTTTCTGGGTGACCGAAAAAGAGCAAAAGTTTTGTGGCCAGGGGCGGGGGCAAAACTATGTTAGGGTGTAATTTTTTCCTTTATATATAAAAACAACGCTCAATTAGTACACATTAATGTGTGTTTGGGAAGGGAAAGATTGGATACACATCTATCATTTGGCATAGTGCACAAAATTGCTGTCCCAAGACTTGAACCCATAACCTCAAGATTATATAGGGAAAATATGTAATAATTAATTCATTCCTTGTAATTTGAATACCCAAATTCATATATTTTTTAGTACTAATCTCACAAATTTTGAACACCTAACTCACTCGCTCCAAATATTGCACACCCACCTTACAACTCACAATAGTTTTATTTTTAAATGTAAGATCCTCCTGGAAACTTACATTAAAAAAATAATAATAATACTCGAAATCTCTCCTTATGTTAATTTAGGACACAAAATTTGAAGGGGGAAAAAAAAAAAAAAGGTTTCAGGCTCCATTAAGTCCACATATGATTTGTATGATTTGTGCAATTGTAAAACTCCATGTATTTATTGATTTTTGTTGCATATTAGTATCAATATATTAAAATTCTTCTTTATTTGTGATCTAAGAGGTTTAAATTAAGAGATTAATTGAAAGTGACTTATAGATATTGTACATTTTTTTGGGCATAAATTGTAATCAAAATTTTTAATACCCTAACTAATATTTCTGGAGCCGCCACAGTTTGTGGTGTATGCAAAAAAAAAGGTTTCAGGCTCCATTAAGTCCACATATGATTTGTATGATTTGTGCAATTGTAAAACTCCATGTGTTTATTGATTTTTGCTGCATATTAGTATCAATATATTAAAATTTTTCTTTATTTGTGATCTAAGAGGTTTAAATTAAGAGATTAATTGAAAGTGACTTATAGATATTGTACATTTTTTTGGGCATAAATTGTAATCAAAATTTTTAATACCCTAACTAATATTTCTGGAGCCGCCACAGTTTGTGGTGTATGCAATCTTTTGGGTTATTTGGATGGAAAGGAATGCTAGGATTTTTTAAGACAAATATGGGAATGTGGACTATGTGGGGATAAAATACGCAACTTGGCATCCTTTTGGGCCTCAGTGCCCCCTCCATTTAAAGAAGGGGGTTCCGCTTTTTTTTCTCCAAAGATTGGAAGGCTGTCTGCGACATGCAGATCTTTTTTTTGGTCTTGTTTTAGGTTAATTTCGGATTATGGTTTGTTTCGTTTAATCAGAGAGGACCTCTTGTCCTCTCATGTTGTACTCTCTTTTGTTGCTGATCACACCAAAAAATTTTGGCCTGTAGGAATGTCCTGTATACAAACCAAACCAAACCAAATGTACAAAGCAAATAAGACTATCCTTCATAATGGCTTCATATTGATAATCAATTACCACACAACCAACAGTGTTTAATAAAGTTTTATCTTCAATTCTAACAAATTACATCAATTTTTTCCCTTCTTGGATCAGTGTATCAGACCTATTGGATTTTATAACCCCAGATGCAGATATGAAAGCAAGAGATGCCTCAAAGAAGCAAGCTCGTGCAAAGGTCATAAATTCCTGAATCTTGACTGTTCTCTGGATTTGTTCTTACTTAACTCTTTACTGAGAAAATTTGTACTTTACTCTTACAGGTTAAAGGCAAACCAGGCCAAACCTGGGAAACAATCACAGATGAATATCAGAAGGGTGAAACATTATCACCTAGTCATTTTGTTACAGAGAACACTAGTGATAAAGAGAACAAATCTGAATCTCACTTTGCAGAATCTATGGATAAGAAACCTGATTTTAGTCTAGCAGATTGGACAGTATTGAATCAAAACAATGACATGACACGAGATGAAACATCCGATGAAGGATGGCAAGAAGCTTTTCCAAAAGGTCGATCAACTGCAGGTCGCAAGTCTTCTGGTTGGAGAAGGCCGAGCTTGGCAAAGCTGAATACTAATTTCATGAATGTTTCGCAGTCAACGAGATACCGTGGAAAGCCCACTAATTTCACTTCTCCAAAGGCACTGTCAAATGAGTCTGCTACTTCAGCTGAGTCTGCTTCTCCTGTTCAGAATAAGTTTGCTAAGAGTGCAAGCTTCAGTCCAAAATTAAGTAATTCAACAACCCCAGCTACCGGGACTGAAAAGTCCGCTAACACCAAGTCATCCCCAGCAAGTCCAGCCTCAGCCTCGACTGATCAAGCTGCCAAGTCTGCTCCAGTGTTAAGTTCAATCAGTGTTCAGGCGGCTGGAAAACTTTTCTCGTACAAAGAAGTTGCGTTGGCTCCTCCTGGTACCATTGTGAAGGCAGTGGCAGAACAGTTGCCAAAAGAAAATTCTCACACAGAACATAGTCCTCGAGGGAGTAAAGACATGGTTGTGCCAGAATCAACTCAGGTTGAGCATGTGACAACAGTCGAGGGTTTGGTGGAAGAAAAAGTTCAAAAACCCATTGAAGAGAAACAACTTGTGTCTTCTGATGAGAAAATGAAAAGTCCTGTCAGTGAAGAACAAGAAACAGAATTCAAGGATACTGCAGCAACAGAATCCGCTGAGGATTTAAACAGTGCAGCTGCTGAAGTCAGAGAACTAAAAGCTGAGACGGTTGTTGCGGAGGTAAAGGCTGTGATTGTTGAAGGCAAGGAAAAAGATTCCAAAGTGGATTCCATTTTGGGAGTTCAGGATTCTGCATCCGATGATTCAAACACTGTTACCGTTATTTCCAGAAGTGAAGAGTTGGAAACAACAATTGACAGATGCACAACAGCTGCCTCCGATTTGGAACCTCTTGAAGTTTTAACCGAAAACACAACCCTCTTGCAAGAAAAAGATGTCTCCATTCCCAAAGAAAGCATAACTCAAAAGGATGAAAATTCGTACGATCTATCTGATGATAATGGTGGCGTTGGTCCTTTGCCAACTGTGGCAGAAAAGCAAGAAAACACAAGCTCCAGTCCGTTGCCAACTGAAGCAGAAAACCAAGGTGACGCAGAAACAGGAAGAGAGACTAGCAAAAAACTATCTGCAGCTGCACCTCCTTATAATCCGTCCACAATTCCAGTGTTCGGTTCAGTTGCAATGGCAAGTTTCAAAGATCATGGAGGAATTTTGCCCCCACCAGTAAATATTCCTCCGATGGTTACAGTTAATCCCGTTCGTAGATCACCCCATCATTCAGCTACAGCAAGGGTTCCATATGGTCCACGGCTGTCGAATGGATATAACAGATCTGGAAATAGGGTTGCACGTAACAACAAACCTACCTTCCACAATGGAGAGCACAATGGGGATGGGACCCACTTCAGCCCACCAAAGATAATGAACCCACATGCTGCTGAATTTGTACCGAACGGCCAGATCTGGGTTCCTAATGGCTATCCAGCATCTCCAAATGGTTACTTGGCTTCCCCAAATGCTATTCCGATGTCCCCAAATGGTTTTCCTTTAACCCCAACTGGTTTCCAACCTTCCTTGAACGGTATTCCACTGACGGATGGGTTTGCAGTGTCTGCAGTCAGTCCAGTAGAATCTCCAATGGTAGTAACTGACGAAGTTAGTGCTGAAAATGAAAACCAAGTTGTGACACAGGAGAATACAGAAAACTCCTCTACTAACATAAAAAATTCAAATCAGTCAATTGAGCAGAAAGCACCAGTTATTCAACCTGAAGATGATGGAAAATCTAATCCTGAAATTGAAGAAAAGCCTGCGAACAGAGTTGTGATGGTGCCTGGAGATGTGGTTGTGGCAAATAAAAGTTGCGACAACACAGCAGCCAAGGAAAACCCAAGTAAGTGTTGGGGAGATTACAGTGATAGTGAAGCTGAGGTTGAAGTTACTAGCTGAATCAAGAGTTTAGACTCTCCTTAAGTAGAAGTGACATGTTCATAGCCCCAACAGCATTTGACTGCAAGAGAGGCAAAAACAACACATTGAATTGCGAGAAGCAGTTAGCAAGTGGAAAGAATTCTTCTTGCAAAAGCCTGTAAGAACAACTATGATGAATCCTGGTGATGCTGTTAGTGACTCTCCGATATGATTTGATTTGATTTTGTTTGCAGGAAGGGATGTGAAATGTTAACTACCGGCCTTCATTGATAATAGGCTGGTGTCTGGAAGATATCTATCTACATAGCAAGCATGTCCTCTCTGCTTGAGTTTTGTTGGTTGTTAAGTGAAACGAAAAGAACCTCCAGGTGTTATGTACTTTTCCTTTTATATTTTTTGGATTATGGTTGTGCATGGAACTTAAAAGTTCTTTTACTAGAAAATTTCAATTTTCTTGCTTGTAACCAAATATGTATGGTAGAAGGATCCTTGATGATGTAATAATACTCATGGTTTTTTTTTTGTTCCAATTTTGTCAATATGAACCATCTAATAAGTACACTGGTAAACCCAATCCCTCCTCCCCATTTATTTTTTAATTTCAGAAATCCCAAGTCTGCAGTTGGAATCCAAGTCTACAGTTCGAATCCTAGAACCAAGACCAATATAACCTATATAAACCTGAGATGGCTTCGTTTACTGTATGAAAACCGTGCTATGCTTATTTCAATTTATCAAGGTTTCGAATTCTTGGGTATTATCTAATATGAAATGGTGTACCAGTCTTTACTTGAAGCCTCGAACAAAAGTTGTTCAATTCTTTCATGAGGGTTGATAATCACTTTAACGATGCCATTTTTATTACCATTTTAACCAGTGTCCAGAAGTTGAAATATGAATGAGATATTTGCCATTTATTATTGTGCATCTGGTTTTTTCTTTTTAAAAACAAAATCCCATCAATGTGACATGTATTTCTAGGAAAGCCATTGTCACATTATTATGGTATAAAATTTTGTATAAATTTTGAATAATTTTCCTTTTAACAATATGGATCGACTTTCCTGGGACGGTTTAACACATTTAGGCAATCTCTCAAAAACACCTATGAAGATTTATTTATTTATTATTTTCCTGTTTTGCTGTGAATGTAGTTTATTTTATTTTATTGGGAAATTGGCCCAAGTCGCTGGTTATTAAATTTTATTGGTACAAGAATACAAATTTCTTAGTTAAAGTCCTCTAATATATGGAGAACAGTTTCTAACCAGAATGCGCGTTTAGAGCATCTTCAATAGTAGCATATTTGTTATCTCTCCTTAGCTACAATATGCAGGCAAATATTCAAAATTCTATCCAACAAGTTTCCTATCCCTGGAGAGTAAAAACTGTGTCTCTATCTTACAAATTACAATAGAGAGCATTTTTGTAATTCTCAATTAAAAAATAGCTACTTACTTTTAAAAAATAATGTTATTTTCCTTTGTAAAGCTTGACTTCCATTGCAGCGAACACACTATGCACATGAAACAATACACCATTTTTGAATTTATATTAAAATTTTAAAATATCATAACTTTTGATCTACATACTCATCTTTTATAAAATTAGTATTTTTAGAATCTTCTCATTGAGATTTATACAAAAAGATTTATATCAAATACGAAATTTTGAAGAAGAAATCAAATGAAATTTCATTGTGTTCATTGTTCTCAAATGGTGAAATTTTACCATGTCTCCAAAATTTTCATTTAAATCAGCATGAATTTCTAAGAATTTTCCTATGAAACCTTGAAGTACGAATCAAACTATAATTGACTTAAATAATTTAAGAATGGACATTCTTTGCAATGTTTATGGGATTTGGTTTAATAATTTTCCATATTAAACCAACTGGAAAATTTTGATCTCTCAAGGCAAATTTAACCACCTTACGCTGTCACAATTCCTTGAAACAAAGAAGAAAAAATCCCCCAACGTTTCTCTGTTTCTGGCGAACTATTCGCCGGAAATATCTCTATTTTCCAACACCTCTCTCTCTCTCGCTCGCTCGCTCCCTCCTATCTCAAAATCTATAAATATGCAATTATTTCTGTTTGTGCATATATAGTAGTAGATAATATATGTATATATGTGTGTGTGTGTCCAGGAACGGAGCTAGGATTTCAAGATTGGGGGGGGCCAAACATTATGTATATCCAATAGAGAAAGTGAACAGAAATCCTGATGTAGATTTCCTACCATCAAGATCGCCTGGGGGGACATTATGATATCCAATAGAACATTATTATATCTTAGTTTTTGGTTGTTAGATTGAAGGGGGCCCAAAAAAAATTCAACTGTTGAATCGATGCATATTGAATATTGTTATGGGTTATAACCAAATCTTACCATATTTATAATAAAAAAGTAATTACTATGAGTCATAGAAATGTAATTGTTTGCAATTATTCAACACTATTATGAGTCAATATGGTATTTTTATTTTTTGATAACATTATATATTATATATATTAGGTATACAGTGGGGATTTGTTTACAAAAGATAAGAAGAAGAAGAAGTACTCTATGTTAGTGTGATTATGTACAATGTGTATAGATATATCCTTGTCTTTCTTGATGTACAATATTTTTAATTTTGCGTGATAAAGTATTGTCATCGTATTGGAACTTCACATATTTTCCTTTGATGTGGTTGCATATTGCATCTGTTATAGAGTTGCCTTCCTTTGTGTATTGTGTAGAATTGTCTTGATTAAGAATTTTGATTTTTTTTACTATTTGTGTATAAGGAAGAATTTATGATCTTGTTTGGTTTGGTTTTGGGTGATGAATTTTATGAAGAAATTTTCCGGAAAGAGTTTAGAAATTTTTGGAGTTTGTTTGGTTGTATATTTTGAAAATATTTTTGAAGTATGAGAGTTCAGAAAATTTTGGAAATTTTTGGAAATAGTTTTCAAGTATGAGGGTAGGAGATAAAAAGTAGTTTTGGAAATTTTTTTCGAAAGTTATTAAACTAAATGCAATTTTATGAAATTTAATTTGATTGAAATATTTTAGAGAATTACTTTCTTTCTTATTTATTTATTTTTTTTTTCGGGAATTCTTCTTGGAAATTTGATGTATAATCCTTTATGAAATTTTTGGAGTTAGAGTAGTTGATATCACATTTAATTTTTTTATTATATTTATGTTCAATAAATGATTTTATGTATTTTTCAGCAATTATTTGATTTTATGTATTTTTTTATTATATAATTTTATGTTTAATCATATATTATATTCTGTGATTTTAGAATATTTTTTGGGCTGCGTTGTGTAAAAAATGTGCTATAAAATTTTATATCATAAAATAGCAAACGACATTTTCAAATATTCAGAAATAATTATTATAATGTTTGTTAGGAAAGAATATTATTGTAAATGATTTCAGAATTGCTATTCTAAAAATTAGAAGTTCAACAGATTGTTATATGTGTTAGGATCAAACACACCCAGAAAATTATCTCACACACACAGAGAACACAATATTTACGTGGTTCGGCCCAATGCCTACATCCACGGACAGAAATGAGAAGTTTCATTAAAATGGAGCAAAAATACAAATACAGAGGAGGAGATGAAACTCACTCAACTCACAGCTCTCACTCTCCAATTTCTGATGATACAAACCCTTCCTCACTCATCTCAATTTATAACCAAGAGAGGAGGAGTAGGTGAAGAGATAGCCATAATTGGCCAAGGTGGTGCCACCCTCACTATCTTCCTTTAGTGAGTTGGTGTTGGCCTCCACCAGCTTCTTTTACCACATGGTGCCACCCACACCATGTGGATGGTGGGCTCCTTACCATGTGGGTAGTGGATGGAGCCAACAATTCTCCCCCTCCACGCCCACATGGACAACTGACTTCTCACTTGAAGTTCATCCCGCTCAGATGCTTGCAAACTTCCAGTTTGTCTCTCGAGACCACCTTTGTAAGCATGTCTGCTGGATTCTTATCTGTGTGGATCTTGATCAGTTCTAATAACTGCTTGTCCATCACTTCGCGTATCCAATGATACCGAACATCAATGTGCTTTGTGCGAGAATGGTACATCGAATTCTTGCTCAGGTCTATGGCACTCTGACTATCACAATGTACCGTGAACTTTTCTTGCTTTAATCCCAACTCTTGGAGAAACCGTTTCAACCACAACATTTCTTTCCCGGCTTCCGCTGCGGCAATATACTCTGCCTCAGTTGTGGATAAAGCAACACACTTCTGCAGCTTGGACTGCCAAGACACAGCTCCCCCTGCGAAAGTGAACAGCAATCCTGATGTAGATTTCCTACCATCAAGATCGCCTGCCATATCTGAATCAGTATAGCCTTCCAAGACTGGTTTAGCATCTCTAAAGCACAAACACATTTTTGCTGTACCCTTGAGGTACCTCAGAATCCACTTGACTGCTTCCCAATGCTCTTTTCCTGGATTGGAAAGGAATCTGCTTACAACTCCAACCGCATGAGCAATATCTGGTCGGGTGGACACCATTGCATACATCAAACTCCCTACAGCGGATGAGTAGGGAATCGCCTCCATCTCTTGTCTTTCCTTCGTAGAGGAGGGACAAGAATTCTTGCTCAGCTTGAAATGATTAGCCAGCGGAGTACTGACTGGCTTGGCATCTTTCATGTTGAACTTCTCAATCACTCGTTCAACGTACTTCTCCTGTGACAGCCACAACTTCTTGGCTTTCCTGTCACGCACAATATTCATGCCCAAAATTTGCTGTGCAGGGCCTAGGTCCTTCATGTCAAAGGACTGTAATAACTCCTTCGGATCTAGGATGAAGAGGTTGGCTGGAAA